AAAATACTTGTCAGAGATGGGCAATCAAAGAGCAAGAGCCATCTTCGACTGACTATTGAAAAAAAAATTGATGGGTTCCTTAGGGAACATTTTTGCATTAGGATTCAACTAAACATATATACATATATAATTTTTTTTATATTTTTTATTACACAAAATAAATACTAATATAAAAATATTTAAAGAATTTGCTACAAGAAAAAAGTTGGCGGGGGATGAAAGCAAGTTGTAAACGATTCCACTTCTTTATCGGATCATAACTATATCGAAATATTTTTCAAATACTGTAACTGAGCCCCCCTCACCTTTATGAAACCCAAATCAATGTTTTTTTCTATCCAACTTCCCTGCCATTAATTTTTAATTCTTCAAAATCTATTCTTTTTTTCACAAAATTTTCAAAATTCTACTCTCCTATCTAAATACGCAATGCTAAAAATATCGATACCAAGAAAAGTATCGCCATTTGATAATTCGCCTCCTGCATATCGACATCTTTAAAAAGACCTGAGGCCGCGAATAATGACAATACATGGCATTGCACTGTAAACGGGGTCGATCATAACCGAATATCGATAGGACCGAACCTTCAAAACTATATTTTAGAAATGAGGTTTTAAACAGCCATTTAAGGGTTTCGGGTGCATGTTTTTCCTGTACAAAGAAACCGGAGAAGGTTAGGAAGGGGCAAATGTAAAAGGGACCCAATATGGCAGCCAGCTAGAAAAGATAAGAAACAACAACAACAAAGTCAATGAGAATTATTTTCTTTGAAAGATATGCCATTACACTTACCTTTATACTTAATGAGGCACCCACAGCCAAGCCAATACTCTGGCCCACCAATGCCGTTAAAAAGACCATTACACAAAATAATACCACTCGAAAGAGGTCAGCCGGTTGATCCGTCAGCCAATATGTAATGACTATATAGACTGTGGTACACACCATTTGTATGGGTATATCGGCAAGGGTTATTGCCACATAATAGGCCCTAAGGGAATACCAACGATTGAAATGTTCACGCGACACAATGGGGAATTCCAGGGGGACTGTGGGGGAGAGAGAGAAGAAGAAGAAAATTAAAAAAATAGTTAGAATAGTAAAATATATATTTTTTAAATCCAGGCCTATAGGGAACTCGAAAGAACATATTGTAAGGAGAATAAAAATATTTTTTTCTGGGTTCGCCAAAGTAGATTTTTTAAAAATATTTTTCAGAGGTACCCTATAGGTGCAAATTTTTTAAAAATATTTTTCAGGGGTCACTAACAGGCGTGGATTCTTTAACAACATTTTTTCAAGGGTCGCTAAGAGGAGTAGGGGTGGCGTAGTTTTTGGTCCATTTCATCCCCTAGATATTAACCGATATTTACCAACAACAATAGGGGTCTTCATTGGCCAGAACCCATCCTACATGCAAAATTTTGTGAAGATTGGTGCATATCTATGGGCTGTATCGTGTTTACAAAATATAATGGACGGATGGACACACTTGTCTAGATCGACTCAGCTAGTCGAGATATGACGATCGGTATACTTAAAGGTGGGTCTAGTACCAATATTTCGCGGCGTTACAAACTTTTGGGGCTGCACAAAGCTATAATACCCTGACAACATAGTTGTGTAGGGTATACAAATCCTCGCTTTTTGTAACCCCTTGATTTTTTTGTTTTAAGCCAAGGCCTGTTGGTGACCCTTGAAAAAATATTTTTAAATCTGAACAGATTTCAACAAAACTTCGCATACATAAATTTGGACCAACTTCATTCAGTACGCTGTGCAAAATTTTGTGCCAATCGGCCTAAATTTGACTCTATGGTGCTCCATTTACATAAAATCGGACGAAACTATATATGGGAGCTACATATATAAATCTGAACCGATTCCAATAAAAGTGCAAAATTTTGTCTCGATCGGACAAATATTGGCAGTATGGTGCTCCATTTACACAAAATCGGATGAAAATATATATGTGGGAGCTATATCTAAATCTGAACCGATTTTAACAAAACTGGGCATGTATAAATCTAGACCTAATTCAGTATTCTGTGCAAAATGTTGTCTCAATCGGACAAATATTGGGAGTTTGGTTCTCCTTTAACATAAAATCGGACGAAACTATATATGGGAGCTATATCTAAATCTGTACTGATTCCAACAAAATTTGGCATACATTAATCTGGGATTAATTCAGTACTCTGTGTAAAATTTTGTCTCAATCGGACAAATGTTGGCAATATGGTGCTCCATTTACATAAAATCGGATGAAACTGTATATGGGAGCTATATCTAAATCTGAACCGATTCCAATAAAACTTGGCATACATCAAACTGGGCCTATTTCAATACTCTGTGCAAAATTTTGTCTCAATCGGACAAATGTGGGCAGTATGGTGCTCCATTTACCTAAAATCGGACGAAACTATATATGGGAGCTATATCTAAATCTGAACCGATTCCAACAAAATTTGGCATATATCAATCTGGTATTAATTCAGTACACTGTGCAAAAATTTGTCTCAAACGGACAAATGTGGGCAATATGGTGCTCCATTTACATAAAATCGGACGAAACTGTATATGGGAGCTATATCTAAAACTGAACCGATTTTCTTCAATTTCAATAGGGTTCGTCCTTGGGCTAAATAAGTGACATGTGTCAAATTTCATTCAAATCGGATCATAAATGCGACCTGTACTTTGTTCACAAAAGTACATGGCCGGACGGACGGACAGGCGTAAATCGACTCACAAAGTGATTCAATGCATATTCTCAAAAGGAACCATGGGTCTATCTCGATTCCTTTTGCCTGTTACATAATACCCTGTACTACAATGTGGTGAAGGGTATAAAAAAATCCGCCCTTCCCATGAAATAATTGGTTACATAAAATTATGCCCTTTAATAGAAAATTGAACTTATCATAGTTCCGATATTGTAAACTTTCCAAAACAATGACATTTCCACAGAATATCAGCAACCACAAATTCACGTTTCTGAATAAATTATTGACAGTTAGATAATCGGTTGTTCGGTCGATCGGTCGTTTGCCATTCTAAACACAAAGAACCTAATAGCGAACAATATAGAGAAATTGTTATGATGTAATACAGGAATTGGCCAGGGTATCAGATCGACGATCAGTTTCTATGTCGATCAGACGGTCGGTCGGTTTGTCGCTTGTTTCGAATTACAATTCGCCGTTAAATGCTGTGCATTTAATAGCCCCCCATGTTAACTATGTGTCATTCGAACAATAAACAGCGGGTTAATTGGAACGTTGAAACGAAGTTAATAAATTATCATTTATCCGTAGACATTCTAAGACAATAACACTTGTATTGGATATTTTAGTGTTATTATTTGTTCAGGTTTTTTTTTTAATTTTTTTAAATTTTTCCGGTAATAATTAATGCATGGACTTGACGAGATTAGAATAATCTCTTTTTAATTCCACAGAGGGCATTTAAGATTTAATTGCGATTGTTGAGAATGTATCCAAGGTTATGGCTAGGAAAAGCAATCGGCTTGAGGCGAGAGGAAGGGTAGTTATACTCGACCATAACCATTGATAGCTGAAGGGATCGGAAAATATCCATGCCTGTTGGTGACCATTGAAAAAAATATATTTAAAAAAGCCACGCCTGTTGGCGATCCTTGAGAAAATATTTCAAAAAAATCCAGGTGTGGATTTTTTGATGAGCCTTGAAAAGATATTTTTAAAAAATCCACGCCTGCTGGTGACCCTTGAAAAAATACTTACTTAGAACAGAACTTACGTTCCATAAGCCGAGCTTAAATAAGATTTCCAGGCGCGTAGGTCTTTTGCGCAGTTTTTCAAATTTGAAAGACCATATTCGGCAATGTTGTCTTCCACTTGATCTTTCCATAGTATTCGTGGCCTTCTGCCTGAACCATCAGCTGGTTCGCTTTTATATACCTTCTGTGCTGGGGCATCTTCATCCATTCTCACAACATGACCTAGCCAACGTAGTCCCTGAATCTCAATACAATGTCGATGTCCGAGAATAGCTGGTAAACCTCATGTTTCATTCGACGGCGATATTCACCATCAACGCAGATCGGCCCATAGATCTTTCGGAGAACTTTTCTCTCAAACACTCCAAGAGCTGCCTCATCGGCTTGAGCAAGTACCCATGCATCAGATCCATATAACATCACGGGTAGTATCAGCGTCTGGTGGAGTGTGAGTTTGGTCTGGCGGGAGGTGTTGTTGCCTCAGACCATAGTAACATCTGTTGGCCATTACTATGTCATTCGTTTTGTTTATGGCGGTACCAAGGTATATAAAATCTTTGACTACCTCGAAGCTGTAGTTATCAAGTTCCACAGTTGGTCCGAGTCTACTGGACGTCTTGCGCGTTGATACCATCAGCTAGGTCTTCTCGCCGTTTACTGCCAGACCCACTTTAGCAGACTCCTTCTTAATTTGTTCAAAGGTGGCTGTTACAGCTCTCAGTGTTCGACCCATTATGTCGATGTCATCGGCGTAGGCGAGTAACATGTATTGTTTGGTGTACAGAGTGCAATTTCTGTTCACTTTTGCCTCTCGTATGACTTTTTCCAGCAGGATGTTAAAAATGTCACATGACAAACTGTCACCTTGTCTGAATCCTCGTTCCGTATTAAAGATCCTTTCCGACTTTAACTGCTGATCTTGTATCAGTTAAAGTTATCCTGCATATCCGTATCAATTTTGCAGGAATGCCAAACGCAGACATGGCTTTATACAACTCTGAAAAGATAGGGTTTTCGAATGAGGCTTTATAGTCGACCAATAGGTGGAATGTGTCGATGTGTTTTTCGTGGGGTTTTTCCAGGATTTAACGCAGAATGAAAAACTGGTCAATGGTCGATTTGCCAGGTCTGAAGCCCCATTGGTATGGTCCAATAATGTCATTGAACATTGGCTTCAATCGTTCACACAGCACACTGGATAGCACTTTATATGCGATGGGAAGGAGACTTATTCCTCTATAGTTGGCACATATCGTCTTGTCTCCTTTTTTGTGCACGGGACACAGGATGCTGAGGTTCCAATCATTGGGCATGCATTCCTCTAGCCAAATTGTACTAATCAGCTGGTGCATGCTCCTTACCAGCATCTGACCACCAGTCTTGAATAGTTCGGCTTCTAACCCATAGGCACCTGTTGCTTTATTTTTCAGCCGATTAATTGCTATTTTGACTTTATCTTGGCTAGGTGGTAAACACTCTATACCATCAACTCTTATTGGTTATGGGGTATCTTCACCGCCACTATTTCTACGCCGAACACTGCGGCTATTCTATACAACGTGTGCACATTCCAAGTGCAGATTCGCATGTTGTGGTCCTTTATACGTTTGCGGGGGTCGTCAACATTAGGGGGTTTTGGTATTCTTTTTCTTTGATTTTCGTAGTAGGAGGGGTTTTCCGAGTGAGGGAAACTAACCCGATGCCTCAACCCATTTTTATAGTTCTTATGGGTGAACTAGCGGCACATATTAGCTCACTATTTCAACGGGTGATGAAAATAGCTACCCCAGGTGACACCGCGGGGAGGTCAGTGTCCACAATTGAGATGAAAGAGGGACCAAGATAAGCCTGAACTTCGCCATGTTAAAACCAACCCCCTACGGCGCCCTTGAAAAAATATTTTAAAAATCACAATTTTTTGCCATAACATTTTTTTTTATTTATTTTTCTTCAATTTGTTTTTCTTTTCATTACAGTGGCCTCGACAGTTCCTCATGCAGTCAATGCATTAGCTTGCTCAAAAAATTGGCAGCCCTGGGCCACACAATTGTCTGCACCATACATCAGCCGTCGGCTTTGATTTTCGAAATGTTCGATAAGCTATATACCGTGGTGGAGGGCCATTGTATGTATCAGGGACCCGTCAAGGAATTAATACCCTTTTTGGCCGATCAAAATCTCATGTGCCCCAGTTATCACAATCCAGCAGATTTTTGTAAGTTTCAAAAAATTAAATGTAAAAAAAAATATTTATTTTTAATATTTTTTTATTTCCAATTTTCCCCATTTGCTTCTCTTTCTCTTCTCTTCTCGTCTCTCTTTAGTACTGGAAGTGGCTGTCGGTGATTATGAACGTGATTTGGAGAAATTAATAAATGCCGCCAATAAGAAATATTTTGAAGATTCCGATCTCAATCAATTGAATCGTGTAACACGGCTAATAAGTCAAATGCAGGGTAGGTACTGAAAAGGACTATAAAATATCATGAAAATTAAAAAAAATATGAAGAACAACAGAAAAAAATTGAAAAGCCAAAGACTGTAAGGGAACGGATGAAACGGAAAAAGTTTAGGCCGAGCCGAATAGTTATAGTAAAGAAAGTGGTAAAGTCGAACTGGGCCGACTATCCTTACAATTGCATGTCAATGTTCCCACGAAGGAACATACGCATGTCTTTCTGCAACCTATGATTAATTTAATTTCATTCGGACAGATTTAGAGTCGGTAATCGGACATACATTAAGAGTTTGGTGCACCATTTTTGTAAAATCGGACGAATAATTATGCATATGTAGGAGCTATATCGAAATCTGAACTGATTTTATCGAAACTTACCACACATCATTCTAGATTCAATTCAGTACGCTATGCCAAATTTCGTGCAAATCGAAGGATATATAGGGACTTTGGTGCATCATTTACATTAAATCGGACGAAAATATATATGGGAGCTATATCTAAATCTGAACCAATTTTCACGAAACTTAACATACATCACTCTTGACTTAACTTAGTACGATATGCCAAATTTCGTGCAAATCGAAGGATATATAGGGACTTTGGTGCACCATTTACCTAAAATCGGACGAAAGTATATATGGGAGCTATATCTAAATCTGAACCGATTTTCACGAAACTTACCACTCATCATTTTAGACTAAATTCAGTACGCTATACCAAATTTCGTGCAAATCCAAGGATATAAAGGGACTTTGGTGCACTATTTACCTAAAATCGGACGAAAATATATACGGGAGCTATATCTAAATCTGAACCAATTTTCACGAAACTTAACATACATCACTCTTGACTTAACTTAGTACGATATGCCAAATTTCGTGCAAATCGAAGGATATATAGGGACTTTGGTGCACCATTTATCTAAAATCGGACGAAAATATATATGGGAGCTATATCTATCTATATCTATGCCAAATTTCATCCAATTCGAATAATAAATGCAACCTGTACTTTGTTAATAATTTAATATGGACAGACGGACGGGCGGACATGCATAAATCGACTTAGAAAGTTATTCTATGCATATTCTCAAAAGGAACCATTTGTCTATCTCGTTTTCTTTTGCCTGTTACAAACATATGCACAAAGACATAATACCCTGTACCACAGTGTGGTGAAGCGTATAAAAATGTAAAACAGGTGCTTAAAAAATTAAAAAAAAATATATTTGAAAATTTCAAGACTATAAGGGAACGGATTGAGGATTAGGGTGAATTTCATTTTTTAGTGTTCCTCATCTATAAAATTTACATTTTTGAAAAACTTTCTATTTGATTTTATTTTCTTTAATTATATTTTTATGTGTGTAAGTTTCTTTTTTCGATTATAATTACTTCCGCATTAACATTACACCAACATAAATATACAACAGCACCTCTTGAATATGCCGCACATTATGTTTATTGCAACCCATTGTGCAATAGGCAGCAAAGTAAACCAAATTTTTAATTGAAAATATCAGAAAAAAACAACAAGAAAAATAACAACACATATTTTGCAATGGGAAAACAAAACAACGAAATTTAAATATTGAAACAAAAAAAGGGAAATCATGCAAAACATAAGTGCCGAAGGGGGAGGAGGAGAAGAAGAAGAAAAATAACCAAAAAGTCATTGGCAAAAAATAGTATTTCCTATAAAAAAAATTCCATTTGTCTTCATGCAAAATAAAGTCCACAAATGACCTCTTTGCGAATTGTGAATGAATGGTTGGTTGGTTGGTTGGGTGAATAGCTGACTGAATGGATGGTTAGATGAATGGCGGCTGGCTGACTGAATAATGACGAACCACACCAACCATTTATTATGTTCACAACCGCGCATCACAAATTGCTATTGTTTGTTGCCAATTTTTTCTTCTTCTTCTTCTGAATATTGTTTTCTTTTCGCTTTCTTCTTTTGTATGTTTTGGTTAAAAGTAAAATGCAATAGAAAATAATAAAAAAAAACACACAAATAATAAATAAGAGGATTCGATGCAATGTGTCGGATTTTCGCATAAGGCATAACAATAGTGAAAGAGTGGAACTTTTTAAAAATACTTGTTCAAGGGGTAACAACAGGCGTGGGGGTGTCGTAGGGGATGATAGATACCAAGCAACGGCTCTGATTGGCTTGAACATGACGCAGTCCAGGCTTATCTTGGTCCCTCTTTCATCTCAATTGTGGACACTGACCTCCTCGTGGTGCCACCTGGGGTAGCTATTTTCATCACCCGATGAAATAGTGAGCTAATATGTGCCGCGAGCAGTGCTGCCAGATAAATTTCATGAAAAATCGTAAATTTTTCAGAAAAAAATCGGCATAATCGGCATTTGTATTTTTAAAAATCGGCAAAAAATCGGCAGAATATAATTTATAAATAAATTCATATTTTTTTGGTTTATAACAAATCAATATTGTTTATTACATTAAAAAAAGATAACAAATTCAATTCTGTATAAAAAAATAACATAAAAGATTAATTTTTCTACAAAAAATGTAGATTTTTCTAAAATATAGTAATTATTATGTACACTAGTGAGATCTTTCAGATTTACGTATAACACAGTGTGGTATTAAGGTCATAAAAAAATTAGAAACTAGTACATATTTTTATTACAAATTTTTAGTATTTCATTATCAATTTTGATATTAAAACAATTTGAATTATTTAGTTTGAGGTAATATTAAGAATAAAGAATCCCTTCCAATGAATCATTCTCAAATGAGCTTCTAATTTTAGTTTTGTTAAGGTTTACCTGACTAAAAATTCGTTCCACATTTGCTGTGGAATGTGGAAGAACCATAATTCTTTGTACAAATTTAGACAAAACTGGAAAAGCTAAATTGGAGCCCCACGTTTAATTTCGGAAATTTTTTTCCGAAAAATTTTTAAATTATATTCTGCATTTTCAAAAATTTCTTCAAAATTCAGAAAGTTTAACTCCCTAAACTCGGAGTCTAAAGATTTTCCTTATTCGATGTAAAATGTAAACTAGACAGAGTACAATGCTGACAAAAAATGCAGATATCTAAGCCATTGAAAACGGCTGCGGCGAGTCGCCGATAGTTATAATGATTTAAAGCTGCCAATTTTATATGTTTGTATGGTAACGCCGTATTAAATTAAAAAGTTAGACAATTTGTGTCGATTGTTGAAATATCGGCAATTCTGAGGCACAAATCGGAAAATCGGCATTTTCCATTTTTAGAGTGAAAAATCGTCAAAATGCCGATAAATCGGCAAATATGGCAGCCCTGGCCCTGGTTCAACATTACAACAACATTTTTGACATTTATTTGTCCAACAGCTGGGCCGATGCGGCTACCTTATTAAATATACCTTGGAACCTACTATGAAAAACCAAAGAAAAAAAACCAAACTCCCAATGTATAAAGGACCACGTTCTGCGAATCTGCACATGGAATGTGCGCACGTTGTACAGAACAGGCGCAGTTTTCGCCTTGGCGGATGTACTCGAGAAGTTCAAAGCCGATATTATTGCCATACAGGAAATGTGATGGAAAGGGACTGGCGTAAATAAATCAGATGATTACACCCTGTATTATAGCTGTCATGAAACGACAGGTGAATTTCGCTGCGGATTTATAGTTAACAGGAGAATAAAAGACCTCGTCTCCAGATTCACTCCAGTAGATGAACGAATTGCTAAAATCCGTATATTGCTATAATCCGTACCTCAGTCTCATTTGCGCTCATGCTCTGCCCGAAGATAAAGATGAACAGACCAACGACATATTTTACGAGCGCCTAGAAACAGTATATGATCGTTGCCCTAGCCATGGCATTATATTCTGCTTGGAGATTTTAATGCAAAAATCGGAAGGGAAAATATCTTTGGCCTCACCGTCGGAAAATTCAGCCTCCATGAGGAAACATCCGATAACGCCATGAGGTTGATTGACTTCGCGGCGGTAGTTAGCAGCACCAGATTACAGCATCTCGATATACACAAGGCCACCTGGATTTTTACTGATGTAAAAACGAGAAATCAAATTGATCATGTTGTAATAGACGGAAGGCATTTATCCAGTGTATTAGACGTTCGATCGTTGCGATGAGCAAATATCGATACGGACCACTACCTTGTGGCAGCCAAGGTACGTACCCGTCTTAATGTAGCAGCAAAGGTGCGATCTAACACAACACGAAAACTCGATGTCGAAAAGATGCAAACACAACAGGTAGCCGAGGCCTACTCCGCTCAACTTACCCACCTGCTTGACGAATGCACTCCCTGTCCCGATAATAATATAGAAGCACAATGGCAAAGAAATGTCCATTCCTTACAAACTGTGACAAAAGAATCACTTGGGTACCAAAGACCCCCATCAAGAAACCCGTGGTACGATCAGGAGTGTCGTTATGCTACTGATGTGAAAAATACAGCGTAGAGGGTGCAGGTACCACCACGTAATGTGATGGAGAATTATCGGGAGCAAAGGAGAGTGGAGAAACATATTTAAAAAAAAGAAGAAAGAACAAGAAAAACGTGATTGGAACCTCATCATCCTGTGTCCCGTGCACAAAATATAAAGTGATATCCAGCGTTATTGGACCAACCAATGCGGCTTCAGACCTGGCAAATCCACCATTGACCAGATTTTCACTCCGCGTCAAATCCTGAAAAAAACCCACGAAAAACACATCGCCATAAACAAAACGAATGACATCAGGTTTGCAATTCGGAGAAGGATAGTGATGGCCAACAGATGCTATTATGGTATGAGCAAACAACTCAAAAGCAAGGCCACCTCCCGCCAAACCAAACTCACACTCTACAAGACGCTGATACTACCCGTGCTATTATATGGATCTGAAGCATGGGTACTTACACAAGATGATGAGGCGGCCCATGGAGTGTTTGAGAGAAAAATTCTCCGAAATATCTATGGGCCGATCTGCGTTGACGGTGAATATCGCCGTCGAATGAACCATGAGCTGTACCAGCTATTCTCGGACATCGACATTGTTAGACGTATTGAGCTGCAGCGACTATGTTGGCTATGTCATATTGTGAGAATGGATGAAGATGCCCCAGCCCAGAAGGCATATAAAAGTGATGATTCACGCAGAAGGGATGGCCACGAAAAAGATGGAAAGACCAAGTGGAAAACAACATTGCCGAATATGATATTTCAAATTTAAAAAACTTCACAAAAGACCGACGCGTCTGGAAATTTTTTTTTTAAGCTCGGCTTAAGTAACAGGCGTCGCTTTTTTAAAAATATTTTTTCAAGGGTCACCAACAAGCGTGGATTTTTTTTTTAATTTTTTTCAAGGGTCACCAACAGGCGTGAATTTTTTTCAAGGGTCACCAACAGGCGTGGATTTTTTTTTTAATTTTTTTCAAGGATCAACAACAGGCGTGGATTTTTTTTCAATTTTTTTCAAGAGTCAGGAACAGGCGTGGATTTTTTTCAATTTTTTTTTCAAGGGTCATCAACAGGCGTGGATTTTTGAAATATTTTTCAAGGGTCACCAACAGGCGTGGATTTTTTCAATTTTTTTCAAGGGTCACCAACAGGCGTGGATTTTTTTTAATTTTTTTCAAGGGTCACCAACAGGCGTGGATTTTTTTTAATTTTTTTCAAGGGTGGATTTTTTTTTTAATTTTTTCCAAGGGTCACCAAGAGGGTTTGATTTCTATTTTCAAATCGTATTTTTTTTATTAAAGTTGCATGTCAACTGTTTAGTTTATTTTTATTAACCCATTACAACTTCTTCTCCTTATCATTTCAGTTGAAAATGTCGATATGTCTCATCACTTGAGTGGCAGTGGAAAAAATCTACCCAAAACCTTCAACATTGACATGGACACCAGTCTAACATCGAAGAAGATGTCGAACTTTCCAGCATTTGATGATTACACGAAACCGGTTGTAATTAACAATGACATGGTCTTGGAGGAAATGAAAGCCCTTGCGGCCAGCGGTGGCAATAAAACGAAGTCATCCGGAGCACCAGAAGATTGCGGCATGGAAATGCCACATGAAAAACAGCCATTGAACAAAAACGAAACGACAACAACAACAACCGTCACGACACACACCTTTGATTCAGAAAACTTTACTAAGGCCTCATTTTTTATGCAATATCTGCTGTTGATGAATCGCATTTTCATTTGTGCGAAACGAAGTAGTGTAAGTAGTAGAAAACCCCATTATTTTTTTAGTAATAAGTGTTTTCCCTTTCTTTGGACGGACCGACAGACAGACATTTATGCAGTCATATTTTTTAATTGTATTATGATGTTTTTGTTTTTTAATAATTTTTTGCCTGGCAGCCTAGTGTGTAGGTCAAGTGTTTCATTTAGTATTACTTAAATGTTTCATTTTTTATACTTTTTTGTTTTTGTTGTTGTACTTTAGAAAACTTAATCTGCCAGTTAAAGTTTTGTTTGTTACTTGAGCCATGAAATATTAGTACTGTCCGAATTATTGTTTTATTTTTCTATTTACCTTGTTACGTGTCAAAATTTTAGCAGTCATAAATTTGTTTACAAAAATCAGTGCGGAATTGGTATTTATAACCTTCAGCACACTGTGGTACAGGGTATTATGTCTATGTGCACACACATGGTACCTTGGTTCCTTTTGAGAATATACACAGAGTCACTTTTTAAATCGATTTATTCATGTCCGTCTGTCTGTCCATGTTAAATTGTAAACAAAGTACAGGTCGCATTTATGATCCGAATTGGATGAAATTTGGCATAGGTCACTTATTTGGCCCAAGGACGAACCCTATTCAAATATTTTCGTCCGATTTAAGTTAAATCGTGTACCAAAGTACCTATATATCATTCGATTTGCACGAAATTTGTCATAGCGTACTGAATAAAGTCTAGAATGATGTGTGTTAAGTTTCGTGAAAATCGGTTCAGATTTAGATATAGCTCCCATACATATTTTCGTCCGATTTAAGGTAAATTGTGTACCAAAGTACCTATATATCATTCGATTTGCACGAAATTTGGCATAGCGTAGTGAAATAAGTCTACAATGATGTGTGTTAAGTTTCCTGATAATCGGTTCAGATTTTGATATAGCTCCCATGTATAGTTTCGCCTAATTTTAGGTAAATAATCCACTAAAGTCCCTATATATCTTTTGATTTGCACGAAATTTGGCACAGCGTAATGAATTAAGTCTAAAAAAATGTGTGTTAAATTTCCTGAAAATCGGTCCAGATTTAGATATAGCTCCCATATATATTTTCGTCCGATTTAATGTAAATGTTGTACCAAAGTCCCTATATATCTTTCGATTTGCACGAAATTTTGCATAGCGTACTGAAATAATTCTACAATGATGTGTGTTAAGTTTCGTGAAAATCGGTTCAGATTTTGATATAGCTCCCATATATATTTTCGTCCGATTTAATATAAATGTTGTACCAAAGTACCTATATATCTTTCGATTTGCACGAAATTTGGCATAGTGTACTGAATTAAGTGTAGAATGATGTGTGTCAAGTTTCGTAAAAATCGGTTCAGATTTTGATATAGCTCCCATATATATTTTCGTCCGATTTAAGGTAAATGGTGTACTAAAGTCCCTGTATATCTTTCCATTTGAACAAAATTTGGCGTATCGTACTGAATTAAGACTAGAATGATGTATGTCAAGTTTCGTAAAAAATCGGTTCAGATTTGGATATAGCTCCTATATTTACATTTAGATATTACTTACTTACATAGCTGGCTTGTTACAGAACGGTTGTTCCATAAGCTGAGCTTAAAAAAGATTTCCTGGCGCGTCGGTCTTTTGCGAAGTTTTTCCGGTTTGATAGATAATATTTGACAATGTTGTCCTCCACTTGGTCTTTCCATCTTATTATTGGCCTTCCCTATCTGCGTGAAACATCAGCCGGTTCGCTTTTATATGCCTTTTGGGATGGGGCATCTTCATCCATTCTCACAACATGACCTATCCAACGTAGTCGCTGCAGCTCAATACGTCTAACAATGTCGATGTCCGAGAATAGCTAGTACAACTCATGGTACATTCGACACCGATATTCACCGTCGACGCAGATCGGCCCATAGATCTTTCGGAGAATTTTTCTTTCAAACACCCCAAGAGCTGCGTCATCTGCTTTCGCATGTACCCATGCTTCAGTTCCATATACTATCACGGGTAGTATCAGGGTCTTGTAGAATGTGAGTTTGGTTTGGCGGGAGGTGGCCTTGTTTCTAAACTGCTTACCTAGACCATAGTAGCATCTGTTGGCCATCACTATCCTTCTCCGAATTTCAAAACTGATGTCATTCGTTTTGTTTATGGAGGTAACAAGGTATATAAACTCTTTGACTACCTCGAAGCTGTAGTTCTCAGCCCCACAGATGGTCCGAGTCTACGGGACGTCTTGCGCGTTGATACCATCAGCTTGGTCTTTTCACCGTTTACTGCCAGACCCACTTTGGCAGACTCCTTCTCAATTTGTTCAAAGGTGGCTGTTACTGCTCGCAATGTTCGACCCATTATGTCGATGTCATCGACGTAGTCGAGTAACATATGCTTTATAGTCGACGAATAGGTGGTATGTTTCGATGTGTTTTTCGTGGGTCTTTTCCAGGATATGGCGCAGAGTGAAAATCTGGTCAATGGTGGATTTGCCAGGTCTGAAGCCGCATTGGTATGGTCCAATAATGTCATTGACCATTGGCTTCAGTCGTTCACACAGTACGCTGGATAGCACTTTATATGCGATGGGAAGAATACTTATTCCTCTATAGTTGGCACATATCGTTTTGTCTTCCTTTTTGTGCACGGAACACAGAAGGCTGAGGTTCCAATCATTGGGCATGAATTCCTCTAGGCAAATTGTACTAATAAGTTGGTGCATGCTCCTGACCAGCATCTGACCACCAGTCTTGAATAGTTCGGCTGGTAACCCGTCGGCTCCTGCTGCTTTATTGTTCTTGAGCCGATTACAATATTCTTCTATATATACGAAAACGAGTTTTTTTAATTCAAACTTTCATCAACATGTAAATGTTCTACAAATCCGTATAAACGTTCTGAATTGAATTATTGATTTATATTGAATTATATTTCTAGCTTGTTATTGTAATTTTGGTCTAGACATTATTTCGTATAGTTTATGCGATCCGTCAGTGGCTTGTATATTTACAATGTGTGTTCGCGTGTGTTGTTGTGTTGCCACATCTCAAAACCTATGTTAAAACTAAATTTATAATTAAATTCCGCTTACATTCTTACTAACCCATTTACCCACTTCGTTCTCTCTGACAGATGTTGAATATCAATTAGTCAGGCTTGTCAACCTGTTCTTCTCACCCACAATAACACGCAACTATGTAAAAATGGGTTTGTAAGTGGAATAGTTTTTGTTGTTGTGTAAAATAAAAAAACAAAGTTATAAAAGTTCATCGGAACCGCTAATTTTGACGTTAAGACCACTAAGAGATTTAAAAAAAATATCACGCCTGTTGGTGACCCTTGAAAAAATATTTATAAAAAACCCACAGCTGTTTCGGGGCTTTAAAAAAATAATTCTCGCCTGCTATAAAGTCTTGAAATTATAATTTTTTAAAATTCCTACCTGATTTTTAAAACAAAATCTACGACTTTTAAAAACCGTTTATAAATACACGCCTGTCAAAAACCCTGGCCATGACATTAAAATTCTGCTAGGAGATGTTAATGCAAACATCGGAAGGGAAAATATCTTTGGCCCCATTGTCGGAAAATGCAGCCTCCATGCAGCTCTTGTAGAGCCTGAAAAAAATATTCTTTAAAAAATCCACGCCTCTTGTAGACCCTGAAAAAAATATTCTTTAAAAAATCCACGCCTCTTGTAGACCCTGAAAAAATATTCTTTAAAAAATCCACGCCTCTTGTAGACCCTGAAAAAATATTCTTTAAAAAATCCACGCCTCTTGTAGACCCTGAAAAAATATTCTTTAAAAAATCCACGCCTCTTGTAGACCCTGAAAAAATATTCTTTAAAAAATCCACGCCTCTTGTAGAGCCTGAAAAAATATTCTTTAAAAAATCCACGCCTCTTGTAGACCCTGAAAAAATATTCTTTAAAAAATCCACGCCTCTTGTAGACCCTGAAAAAATATTCTTTAAAAAATCCACGCCTCTTGTAGACCCTGAAAAAATATTCTTTAAAAAATCCACGCCTCTTGTAAACCCTGAAAAAATATTCTTTTAAGAATCCACACCTCTTATAGACCCTGAAAAAATATTCTTTAAAAAATCCACGCCTTGTATTGCCTTGAAAAAATATTCTTTAAAAAATCCACGCCTCTTGTAGACCCTGAAAAAAAGTCTTCTTTAAAAAATCCACGCCTCTTGTAGACCCTGAAAAAAAGTCTGCTTTAAAAAATCCACGCCTCTTGTAGACCCTGAAAAAATATTCTTTAAAAAATCCACGCCTCTTGTAGACCCTGAAAAAATATTCTTTAAAAAATCCACGCCTCTTGTAGACCCTGAAAAAATATTCTTTAAAAAATCCACGCCTCTTGTAGACCCTTGAAAAAATATTCTTTAAAAAATCCACGCCTCTTGTAGACCTGAAAAAATTTTCTTGTAGACCCTGAAAAAATATTCTTTAAAAAATCCACGCCTCTTGTAGACCCTGAAAAAATATTCTTTAAAAAATCCACGCCTCTTGTAGACCCTGAAAAAATATTCTTTAAAAAATCCACGCCTCTTGTAGACCCTTAAAAAATATTCTTTAAAAAATCCACGCCTCTTGTAGACCCTGAAAAAATATTCTTTAAAAAATCCACGCCTCTTGTAGACCCTGAAAAAATATTCTTTAAAAAATCCACGCCTCTTGTAGACCCTTGAAAAAATATTCTTTAAAAAATCCACGCCTCTTGTAGACCCTTAAAAAATATTCTTTAAAAAATCCACGCCTCTTGTAGACCCTGAAAAAATATTCTTTAAAAAATCCACGCCTCTTGTAGACCCTGAAAAAATATTCTTTAAAAAATCCACGCCTCTTGTAGACCCTGAAAAAATATTCTTTAAAAAATCCACGCCTCTTGTAGACCCTGAAAAAATATTCTTTAAAAAATCCACGCCTCTTGTAGACCCTGAAAAAATATTCTTTAAAAAATCCACGCCTCTTGTAGACCCTGAAAAAATATTCTTTAAAAAAT